ATTATACTAATCACTTAAACTAATAAACTTACCACCAAGAAGTAAGATCTTTTCTGGCAGTATCTTGCTCTGTCCATGTCGTGGCGGCGCAGCTCTGCGTTGTCCTCTTCACTGCTAAATTGTTCGCGGGAGCTGACGACCTGGTAATCTGCTCGTGTGTTCTCTCAATATTAGATCGGTGCTATCCACATTCACTAGGTCCGAGTCAGTGAAATAACAAAGCAAAATTTGGAAAATACATGATTTCTGTTGAAATATCCGAAGCTATAATGGAATAATACCACAGACGGTCAGTATCAGTTGTCCGCGCCCCGCCCAACATGTAAGTTCAAATGGCAGTGTGTGATTGGACAATTGCCGGCAAGCTTGTTTTGAAAAGATTAGCTCTGATTGGTCCAAATGAATGCAACTGGAAATACTAACAAACTAACGGCCACAAAAAAAGAAACAACTCTGTTAATATAAACATAACATGCTTTATAAACAGGTTTTTTATTCATTTTGGCTAAACAAATGTAAGAGTCAAGCTTTAACAAATTTATTTAGTTTTTCTAGTATGTACTTGATCTTTTATGTTGATGTGTGCAAGTACTGGTATTCACTTGTTTTGTGGAAAAGACTATTTGATTAATTAATGCAGAAGTATAGAAGTGCATTACTTGTAATTTTTAAACGTTATATATATATATATATATATATATATATATATATATATATATATGTCTCATTTGTTTTTCACAATATTTTTTTAAAGCAGGGCTGAAGCACATGCTACAGTATAACATAAATATTAAAAATATATTGCTCTAGTCCTATACAAGGTTAAATAAGTTATAAGGTTACAAATTGCTATACACACAAAGTAAACACAAAAAATACTTTAATTTAGCAACAAGTATGCTTTCTGTAAATACACTAAAATTTCACTAAAACTATGTTTGTTTTTAGCATATTTCTAAAAGTGTAATTAAGTGTATATTTATTTGCATTGCGTTTCTACTAAAACATTTTTAAATACAATTAAAATATGTTTGTATTTAGCATATTTCTTAAAAATGTAATTAAATACCAATGTACTTCTAGTACACTTTTTAGAAACATATTTAAAGCATGATTGTCATTAGCATATTTATTAAAAATATAATTAAGCATACATTTATTACCAATGTACTAATAATATACTTTTTTAGAAATACATTAAAAGTATGCTTTTCTATAGTGTATTTCTTAAAAGTGTATTTAAACATATATTTATTACCAATGTAATTCTAATATACTTTTTAGAAATACATTTAAAGTATAATTATCATTAGCATATTTATTAAAAATATAATAAAGCATACATTTATTACCAATATATTACTAATATACTTTTTATAAATACATTAAAAGTATGCTTTTCTATAGTACATTTCTTAAAAGTGTAATTAAATATATATTTATTACCAATATACTTCTAGTATACTTTTTAGAAATATACTAAAATGCAATAAAATAAATTTTTAGTACACTTTAAATAAGCATGTTGTAAATACAAATGTATTATAAACACACTATTTGTATTTCAAATATATTTTTAATACATTTAATACAGCGTCTTTTTCACCTGGGTACCCGGGCATTCGCTCTCACACAGACTAATTTCTGTCATTACAGTCCTATACAAATGCTAATTAAAAATTGCTATGAAAAGCTAAATGGGAGAGTATTCTCATCTCACCAAGAGACTTGTGGCTCGGCAGCACACAAAGTAACAGCTGTTATGCACACGTGCATACTAATATCCATGAAAGCAAATGTCCCGTGTTTTCTCATTCATTAGTAATCATCATTCAGTTGTATCAGTGTTAGACTGCAGGTCACCTATGAAGCCATCAGATTATGAACCAAACTGCAGTGTGAACGTCAAAAAGAAATAGCATGCTTACACAATGAAGAGATTTTCGAAGTGTCATCATCAAATGTAATAATAACTCTAAATCTTATCACCAATCCTAATTAAATTAAGTTTGACATACAACAGCCTGTAACCTCATAAACACAACACACACCATTCTGGCAGGTTTAGCATAATGCTGCATTAATTTACACCTGAGGCCCAATAAAAACACAGACCAATGCAGTTGGCCTGTGTTTCCTCACTTGACAGAAAAGAACAAGTGTAGCCTTTTACATTGTCCATTTGTTGGGCTTCCAATATTTCAGTCTTTCGTCATGCTTAAATATATTAAATATTCAGTCTTTTTACTGCATGATGGGATGCCAAGAAAATATTTTCATTTTATTTCCTCAAAATGCTCAACCATTCGATTCAACACTGATACCCAAGGTTTTCTAAGATCAGACAATATTTTTTTTCAGACAATAGCTTTTTAAAAAAATAAGAAACAAAGACATGAAAGGAGGATACAACAACGAAAGGAAGAGCCTTGTTCCCCTTGTCTTTTGTGGGGTTTCCTATAGCTGTAAACGGTTGGGTTTTTTGTCCTCATGCAATGACAGTCAGCAGGTCCATCTAGTTCTCAAATAAAAACCCAATTCAAATATTTACATTTTATAAATGCGCCATTATGGACAAATATTGAGGGTGAAGCCTGAGAATGATGGGAACACCTGCTGGTGGCCGAGCAAGATTTCAATAAAACATACGACTTTTTAATGGGCCGTTTATCGTGTCAATACAACACGACACACAATAAAAGCTTACTTTTAAACGCCGTTTGGATAAAACGGACATGTTTCGTGTATTTCAAAGAAACGCGTCCTTTGTGAGCCCTGCCATATTGCCGTGAAAATCCGCATCATCATCGGTTGCCATGGTAGAAGCACGACTGGATGCTCAACGACTCAAATACTGCACCTACTGCGCATTCTCCTTACGAAAAGCGTCTCGACAGAAGCTCAGAGAAAACAACGCTGCATTCAAGACAATGAAACGTAAAACTCACCAACTGCAGCGATGAATCCTCGACCCGTCCGGTTTCATGGGATTGATGTAGGTTTGGTGTGTAGTGGGCGCGCGCCGCAGCTTCCCTTTCTCCTCGAGCGCTCCTGCTGCTGTCAAACGCGCAGCGCCGTCACGCGCACGCTCAGTGCAGGCGCAGCTGCAGCGACAAGAGAGCCTAATCAGCGGATCACACACACAAACACCACTACTCTGTAATACAGACAGCACGTTCTGTATATTCTTAAAGATTGGTTCCAAAGTTTGTCTGTTTTGAAAGAAACGCATAGCTATTTCAAACAAATTTATCCATTCACTCACTCACTCACTCACAAACACACACAGTATATTTTTTCTGTCGTTTCTGCCCCCCATGTCAAAGTATACAGTCATGGAAAACAACCTCAAATCTACAATTTTCAGTCTACACACAATTATCTACATTACTTTGTCAAAGCCATATTTAACCTTGTGTTTTTGTGCAGATGGATAGAGTTGCTTTGTAATGTTTTTTTGTTTTTTGTTTTTTTGTTTTGTTTTCCCCTTAGTGCAGGACATCTGATTTATGATAGTTTAGTGGTTTGGCAATGCAAGTGAAAATGAGCATGTTAGTCATCCCACTGAACAGCGTCATGCCTGAAACCCATGCAGGCAGCCACGTCTTAAAACGTGAATAGTTGTATCTGTTTGTAATATCAAGGAACAAGGAGTATTAACCAAAGACACAGATGACAAATGATGACATAAGTGTTAAAAAACATATGAAAGTACTTTGTTTACTGAACTAAAGAAAAAACAAAATAGACTAGCACTGGGATTGAAAATAAAAGACACGGAAACTAAATTCTAAACAAAATTTTGAACAAGAACGTATTTTTAAACAAGTACGTCTGTTCTGATAGGTTACCTAAAGTGCACTCTCAATACAATCGTAGCTCAAGTCTTTCTGAGGTAATGCAGACTGGCTTTGTTTATACGTCCCACTTCCTAGTATTGCAGAAGGCCATGTAAACATATCATCTAGAAATCATTGTACCAGAACCAACTAGTTGCTTATACAGTCTGTTCTTTTTCCAGCAAGGAGACTTTTTGAGAGGCTGATCACCCCTAAACCTAATTAAGTTAAGCTCCACCTCTTTAGATCAACAGAAAATAATAATATTGCACTCGAGTATATCATTGGAATAATTTTAGGGACATCTAGGTTACACTTGAGGTGCCAGAATGCTCTAGTCTGGTCTTCCATAGCCTTACTGAGGGGATTCGAGGAGGTGATGCAAGAGTTGAATCAGACATGGTCCTACTGTATCTGCTCTAAAGCTCCTCGATCGATGAAAGAAACAACCATTGACATTCTCAGGTCTTCCATCTGTGAGTTTATGGATTACCACAAAAACCTCAGTGATTGCGTAACAGTAACAAAACTGTACTGGAAACAATATAGATTAGAAATAGTTAAATAAAGAAGGCATTTCCAGTGCAGTCCGCTGTCTCACGTGTACACGGCAGCTCCCAGTAGCACTGAAATGCGGATTTGAGAATATTTCCATCAAATATAGTCTCTCCTCACACTCACCTGTGGGATTTGACACATCATTGAACATTTCCATGGATGACATTCCTCACTTCAGGTTAGGCTACATAACGGAGGTCTTATGAGGAAATAACCAACCTCATTGACCTTTATTATATAAAGGTTGCTTATTTTCAGAGATTCATCAGTCTATAAATGTTCATATTTCTCATTGGGATATACAATTTTAAATATAGAACATCTATGTGCTTGACTTCAGGCTTGATGGGCTGCTAAAATACTAGCTAATGTGCCAACAGTGTGGAACAACAGACAAACAGAAATCAATTTTGCAATTGGAAAAATCTATTAAATACAGCCAGATTAATTACAAATGGGAAACAATGCTTGTGGTTCAGAGATTTACAGAAATTCTCTATGATTAGCACTCTTTATCAATATTAAGAGGAACAAAAAAATAGTTATCTAAAATAATAAGATAACATATCTTACCTGAGAAGGAAAAAGTGAAACTGAAATAAATTGAGGTTTGAAAACCTTTATTTCTCTTCATAACCACGACGGAGTAATAGTTTAAAGGTGTTATTAGGAAAAATCGTATTTCTGAATCAAGCTGTTAAAATTGAATCTACAACACTGTCATAATTTTATGATATATTTTGCATATTATACAGTCAATCTGAACAGAACCAATAAATTATGTAAAATATTTTCCTGCCAAGTGCACACAAGCAAATAAAAATGTACTGTATACCGAAAAGCAGCCGAGGCATTCAAACATAATACAACAAAATCAATGATCACTTCATTAGTGTTTCCACAATGATCAATGTAAGATTAAGAGCCATATTCAGCAATGATACAACTGCATTTAATGCTTTCAAAACATTCTGTGCAAACTTTTTAAAACATCAGACAGTGCTGTTGGTACCTTTAGAACATTTCATTTTGAATAAAAATTGAAAAGGTTAATCTGAAAATGATTTGCACACACGTGGGTCCGAGCATCAGCTCGCCTCATGCTAACTACAGTACTGTTAGTTCAGTCTACTCAAATCTACCTGCAATATTGTGCAGAATAAATAACTAAGGATTTTCTTGAGGAGACACTTAACAGTTTTATCCTATTGTAAATTAATGGATCAAAACGGCATTAGTACAACAAGCAGCACATGCAAGTAATAGCTAGTCAGTGTTGCCGCTAACATTTCATGCCTGCAAGGCTCTTTGTTTCAAACAAGACCCACAACAGAGACAATAACTATCCTTACAGTAACTACAAAGACGTAAAATCAGACCTATAATGAACCTATTCAGTCTTCTTATGTGCTCGATATGAGACAACAGACGTGATTCCCTATTTTAATTTATATGGCAATGTAACACTTAATTCCATTGCAATGTAGAATTTTCATTGTTATACATTAGAGGTGATAATGGTAATGGTAAAGGTCAGTGGTTGTGCAAGTTTGGTTTTAGAGTTTCAGAGTTTGGAGCGAAAGGGAAATCCATCGTACATGTCAGCTTTGAGTTGTGCCCATTCAGCTAGCTTTTGAACGACGCCCTTTTCTTGAGTAAGAACACTAGCCACTTTCCTTAACTTATTCTCGTTACGCTCCAGGTAGATGCGACCCTCAGCCAGCAAGAAGTCCAGCCTGTCCTGCCTGTTCTCATCCAACGGGACATCCTCACTCATGTAAGGGTTCAAGCGAAAGTAGGTGTTCGGGGGAAGGAGGGCGTCCAGCATCGTGTGGACCTCTACCATTAAAAAAGAAGAGATCAATAGTAGTTTATGTAGTGAGTGACAAACAACTGTTGCAATAGGAATGTTGCATCCCTTAAAGAGAACATTTTATGCTTTTTGACATTTTTAACTTTCTTTAGAGTGTGTACAGTTTCCAAACTCCCTGAAACGTCGATAGTTTTCCTCCTGGGAACATACTCATCACATCCCTCATTTAAATAAGTCCCGCCCAAGGCATATGGAAAAGAAAGGGGCGAGGCCTGGTTGAGGTGCGTTAGTAATGTGTTAATGAGCTTTAGTAACTCACGGTTATGGTAAGGGACGTGACATTTATGAAACACACTCAAAATGGTTGACCGATCACAACACATTGGTCCAGCCGACCAATCAGACCACATTGTGGGAAGAGAGGTGCTGCAATAATGTCAAATATGACCCCAAAAACAAAATCAAGACTTTGTAAAAGGGCATAATACAGCCTCTTCAATAAAGTCATATTACAGTTTTCATTACACTGTTGTATAAACTGTTAAAATCTGACAGAGAGCTGCTAATTTTTTAACTTTGGGAACCTTCAGAGGGATATACAGACAAATGTATCCCGGATCAACTCACCTTCGGTGTCTGTGGCGCTGCTGATGACGTTGGTGAGTTTGGTCTTTAGGCTGGTGTAAGTGCTTGAGCTGGTCTTGGCGAGGGTTTCGTAACGGCCTGTTCCCAGAGACACCACACACTGCACAGGGGTGTTGGGCCACAAACACTTGCTCTCATGGATGGCCAGAGCAGTAGGGTTGTTGATCAAGAGACCACCGTCCTGAATAAAATCAAAAACATTTGATCATACCACAATCAAACTAACCATATTTGTTTGAAAACGAGAAGAGATTCTTGTGTGCTTTATCCCAACAAAAATTGGAGAACCTAAAACATACTATTTAAAAGACATTTGAGGTTCAAAATAACTGCTTCTATTCTTGTCCAAAAGCAAGGCTTCTTTGTGGAAATCTGGGTTATTCTTTGAAACACTAGAGGTACAGCATAAAAGAGCTGAATTTACATTTCCGGCTGATATGATTATGGGAATCATCACTGTTGAGTATAATGGATGAAGGGTCTCTCCTCCGTAGGAGATGTGGGTAGATGTGTTCATTTTCCCTGAGGCATTTGAAATCCATTTACTTGGCATCATCATTCTCGTTTTCAATGTCTCCTTTAAGGAGCACATCAGAGAAAACAAGATGAACGTCCTTTATTTCTCTAGTATGCCCTACATTTTAGTGACACGGATACTGATGCAAATCAGTGAACTACACTCTGCTTTCTGAGTCCAAAGCTAACAAAGGATAAATGGGATATTTCACCCCAAAATGAAACATTTCATTACACTTTTAAAGCCTGTAGCCTTGTGTGCAACACAAAAGAAGATGCTTGGCAAAATGTCTAAGCTGCTCTTTTCCATACATTGAAAGTGAATGGTGACCATGACTGTCAAGCTTAAGTTTCACTCCATTACTCTCAGAAAACTATCATATTGTTTCAGAAGACATGGGTCATACTATGGACTAATCTAATTTTATGGTGTTTTTTGCAGATTGACAGCTGATGGTCACCACCTAATTAGTTACAGGGTTATAATAGTCAACTAAACTATAACCATTAACATTTTTTTTTGTTACTTGAAATAAAATAAATGTTAAAATATATAAAAAAAATCCTATTTCCTCAATGAGGGTGAGTAAATTATGGCAGAATTGTCATTTTTGGGTGAACTTTTCCTTTAATGAATGAATTGATGAATCAATCAAATGAAAAAGAAAAACAAACAAACAGTTGAGGACTGGCTTCTTGTTTGATGCTTGAAAGCCCTTGAGTAGAGTATGCATAACAGAGAACAGGCCTGGCATGTTGAGAAGAAACTGAAGTGCTATTCAGAACAAGAAAGAGAGATAAAGCGATAAAGAGAGAGAGAGAGAGAGAGAGAGAGAGAGAGAGAGAGAGAGAGAGAGAGAGAGAGAGAGAGAGAGAGAGAGAGAGAGAGAGAGAGAGAGAGAGAGAGAGAGAGAGAGAGAGAGAGAGAGAGAGAGAGAGAGAGACAGAGCTTTTCCCCTGGTGGCATTCAGAGTCCGGGCATCGAGTGCTCTGTTGGCAACAGGGTTTAGAGCCAAGAGCCTTTACTACATTTGCATTTTAATTAGAACACATTCATCCCACACTGCAAAAACATACATCAAAACACATCACAGCGACTTTGAATGCGAAATCATGGGAAGATTGACATAATGAATGTGTATTAAGTGGATTTGGCCGGCCCTTAGGCCAAAACATTGGAATCATCTACACAGACTATTAGATGAAGATCTAAAAATAGTTCATTCTCATCTTCTTCGACAATAAATTAGGCCTTACCTGAGGGCAATGTCACTCAAAATTTATCTTCTGTTGTTCCCCAAAGAACATTTGACCACAGAATGAGGATTATTTCTAATGGACGCATGAAAGCAACATGTGGGTCAATGGCATATAAGGGTGTCCATGATAAAGAAAGGGAAGAATCAAAGGGAAGAAATAATGGACAAAGAAAAATATTATTATAAACACATATTTTAAAATATCAATAAGAAGTTAAGAATACTTTGTTCAAATATGACAAGACTATGCCAAATGACTTGTATTTAACTATTTTAATACTGCTTTTTCTTCCATTTTTAACTTCCCCTAAAAATGATTAAAATGAATATCAATTCAGAAATGAACTGTAGCTATTTTTAGTGTATTTTTTTAATAAATTAATATTTTTAAAATATTAAGGTATAAATCAACAGAAAAAAATACCTATGTGACATAATTTTTACTTAATGCCCATCAACAATATCTAAATTCATTTTAATTCAGACATTAACTGTATTTTGAATAACTAAATAGTTTAAAAAATCATGTAATTTACTCATATGACATATCAGGACATTTTTGTTTGTTTGTTTATTCCCCAACAAATATTAAAATGAATTATAATCCAGAAACTGACTTATTTTAAATGTAATTTGAATAAATGAATAGATAAAAAAATGCCGTTTTATACCACCATTTCTATATACGAACAGGCTCATCTTCCTATTGACCACAGCTCTCATCCGACTCTGAATGAATCTGGGCATTCATTTAGCTCTGTGACCAATAGCTTCACTGGCCTATTCGGGAACACAGGGACATTGTGGAAAGCAGTATGTGAACTTGGTGGGTGTCAATAGGCAGACGGACAGAATGACGCCTTCCTGATGGCGCAACAGGCCACGATTCAACATTAATGTCTGTCACTTGGCGGAGACACTTTTAGGCTGATGAAACCCAGGCTGTGAGGGTGCGTTCGGTGTGGCAGCCATGGCACCGTGCCAGTTTGAGCTGGATGAAGACAAGCAGACAGGCAAGAAGACCTGACAGCCTTGCCAGTGTAGTGCAAAAACATATTCAGATCATGATAATAATAATACACTTTCCTGAGCAAATCTTACTTGTGCATCCCTACTGTATTACAGTACGCAGGCCTATTCACATCCACATCAAGAACAATAACTTTAAAGATACCTATAACGGTAACTATTTTTTTATCCACGCCAATGCACAATATTGTTATGTTTATGATAAGCTTGCTGCAGTTTTGTCACCTGCCACTTTAAAGGCTCAAGCTCTTTAAAGGGATACTCCACTTTTTTTTGGAAATAGGCTCATTTTACAACTCCCCCAGAGTTAAACAGTTGGGTTTTACCGATTTCGAATCCATTCAGCCGATTTTCTGATATTTAGAAGAATTTCTGGTCCCATTGACTTCCATAGTACTATGGAATTTCCAACACACACAAAAAAAAGTGGAGTATCCCTTTAAAGCAGGACTGATTCTGATTGGATGTCAATGTTTTTATCATTCACTTTTTTAGAAAGATTTTGTTCCAGCCGATGATTCCAACGGTGTCGCTCCTCTGTGTCGTTATCGTTTGAAGTGGTGATGTGGGCTCTGCTCTACTTTTCAGTTCAGAACGATTTTTAAAACTCTATCTTTATTGTTATAGTTATCGTCCTTTGTGTGATGATTCAGAGAGTAGTGGATCAGAGAACTGAGGAGTCTAAACAAACCCTCTGACAGGAATCTCATCTGAGAGCCACTTTAAGGCAGCCGAACTGAAGTGCCCTAAGTGACGGCACTCAAGAACACTAATGAGTCTGAATGTGCGGCACTGATGAGACAGCACAGGAAATAGTCTGAGAGCGTGTTTCTTTATCTCCTTCTTCTTGACAACAACCTTAAAAGAGTTTGTAATGATTTTCAATAGTGCAAGATGTCTGACCGAGGATAACATCAACAGTCAGAGAACATGAACATGAAGATAACATAAGGATAAGTTGATAGCAAGAGCAGACAGAGTGTAGTAGGTGATGCAGACCAGACTTTGTGTGGTTTACCTGGTGGAGGTCATTTCCTAGCACACATTCCTGGAAGTAGCCTGGGGCAGCGGAGGAAGCTCGAATGGCCTGCCACATTTTATGATGACAGCCACCCAGGTAGTGTGAGCGAACCCCAGGCAGGAAGTTATAATTCCTGAAGACATGCGCCTTCAGCGGCAGGCCTCTGTTCACTATTGTGCTCACTGCCGACACCTAGTGGAAGCATTGAGTGATTTATCTAAGCAGTGAAAAGATGAGAATTGCATTTCTGTCACACATATATATTTTGAAACCCACCTTTGGGCATTTAGGGTTCTTGGAAGTCTCTATCATTATCCCATTCCCCATTCTCTCTCTGTGGTGAATAAAAGGAAAAATATTGCATTAAACGTAAACAGCAAATGAGATGCTGTAGGCATTGTATTGTAATGAATTTAAGGATTTTATTTATTGCTATTTATTTTAGATTTTATTTCAAAGTAAGACAGCGTTCAACATCTCGTCTTTACCTCTATTATTTCTATTTCAGCTTCAAAATATTGTTGGATAAAAATAAAATAAAATGGATAAATAAAATAAAATATAGTGCCCCAAACAGGCTTGTTCACTTCATTGTCTTACTTGAGGATCTCCTCCCAAATCTGGCTGTCATAGTACGCGTGACTCCAGCCCATTTTCATTGTGCCCACAATCAGGTTTTGTTTAAAGACATCAGATCCCAACTTCCGATAGAGTTTCTCACACTCATCCAGAGGGATCTGGAACACACCCAGCATAAAGGCAAGAATGGCCCCTAAGAAAAATCAGAGAAGATTTAGAAGACATGGAAAAAGACTGTTCACTCCTATACCATGTAGACATTTTGCAAGTAATTTAAATAATATACCTGTACTAACTCCACATATGTAGTCAAAGAGCTGATAGATGGGCTTCCCTGTCAAACTCTCCAGCCTGTACAAAGCCTGTAATGCAACCAAACCCCTACAAAACATTGACATAAAATTACAGGCCTGTACATACAGTATAAACATCTTATAAAATGAAACTAAAGGATCGAGGATTCACCGCAGCAAATTAAAAGTTTAAGAGTAGTTGACGGATAAAATCAGGCACAATATGTATTTTTTAGACTTTGGGAAATGTATGCAATAGTTTAAAGTCTTATCACTACTTAATAATTCAATCTAAATATTTCATAAGGTCTTTAATTGATAATTATATTGGTAACACTGTACATTAAGGTCTCATTTGTTAACATTAGTTATGTATGGGTCTCATTTGTTAACATGTATTATGTATTAACTAATATGAACTAACAATGAGTAGATATATTTTAACAGCATTTATTAACCTTTATGTTACTTAAGAATGTTCATATTCTGGTAAGTTCACATGTTAAAAGAAACAACTTATGATCTTAAAAATGTATTCATATTTTTTTTAGATTCACATTAGCTAAGATTAACAAATACTGTAAAATTAATAATATAATAATAATTTGTTACATTTATATAGCGCTTTTCTGGTTACTGCACTTTACATGAATTGTTATGCAGTTTATGTTAATTCATGAATGCAGAATTGTTAGCTCATGTTAACTCATGTATTTACCTAATGTTAACAATTACTGTAAAGTGTTACTATTATTAATTTATGTCTATGGATCTATAATTATTGTATTTTTTTTACTTAATTAAGTTTTATTAATATTGTTTGTTTTATTTTTTTATTCTAGCCTAGGTAAAATTGTGACAAATTTAAAACATTACCCTGGGATGACAGACAACATCTAAAGGGATTGCAAAATTGTGTCAGCTCTATTTTTGGATGACCTACTTTTAGGTACATTTGGGCTGACCTACTTTTATCTTAAACATCCTTTCACAAGTTGTTAATTTTAGGTTAATCATTTTTTGGATTAATGATCAACTAGCATCTGTCTGTCACCTGGTGCCTCCTCCGTCAATGGAGAGAACACGTATCCCTCTGCCTTTCACCGGGTCATTGTAGCCCACCAGTGCCAGAGCCTGTCTCACTGCAGCCTGCAGCTTGACATCTCGTGCCTGCCTCAAACGCAACAGACAAGGGATGATCTTCTCCTGAACACAGCGAGAGAAAGGAAGAAATTAAAAAAGAACGTTATTGACTGAGATTAGTCCTCCTCACAGACGTGTTTGGACACACTTACAGAGACTGCCACTCCTCTGGTCTCCGGAAACTCCAGCAGGTGGAAGCTCAGTTCCTCCACCCTGTTGATGATGATCTTCAAATCAGTGACTCGCTGAAGACTCTTGACCAATGCTCTGGTTCGGTTATCCACACTAACACGTGCTATAATCTACATACAACACACAGAACAGTCATTTTTGATCTTTAAACAATATAATCAATGGGAAATCGATATATTTTGCATAGGCAATGGGCTTCGTTCATGAAACATGTAAATCAAAAAAATCCATTCTTACTAAAACAGCATACAATCCAATGTGTTTTTGCATTTTATTTGACTTTTTTTGCAAATTATTATTACCATTTTATGAAGGATATATATATATATATATATCCTTCATAAAATGGTAATAATAATTATATATATATATATATATATATATATATATTAGGGCTGTCAAGCGATTAATCGCATCCAAAATAAAAGTTTGTGTTTACATAATATATGTGGGCGCACTGTGTATAATTATTTTATGTATATAAATACACACACATGCTTGTATATATTTAAGAAATATTTTCATGTGTATACTGTATTTAGATTTATATATACTTAAATGTAAATATGTAAATATAAATAATTTATATATAAATAATATTTTTTCTTAAATATATATGCATGTGTGTGTATTTATACATTTACAAAATAATTATACACAGTGCACCCACATATATTATGTAAACACAAACTTTTATTTTGGAAGCGATTAATCGCAATTAATCATTTGACAGCCCTAATATATATATATATATATATATATATATATATATATATATATATATATATATATATTAGCATATATTACAAAAATTGTTAGTGGTTCTAAAAATAATAATAATAATAATAATAGCTAATAATATCTAATAATAATAAGAATAATAAAACATCTTATTTTATTTTAGATAGATAGATTCAACCCCAAAATTATTCTGTTGACCACACTGAAACAAATGTATCAGTTTTTTGAAACTCAAAGCTTTCACTCAAAAAAAAAAAAAAAGAGAACTCAGTTAAGTCTATTGTAATATATTTACAGGGATAGTATTCTACCTTCTCCCTCTGAGACATCAGTTTCTGTTCTTTCTCCTCTGCCTCTTTCTTCTCCTTGCTTTCTGCACTCTTTGCATCCTGAGACACGTTCACTTCAATTCCAGAGGGTTTGTCCTTCTCTGCCGTGCCACCCTTTGAGTCCATTCTAAACTTTGGAACGAGAGGAGTGATGTAGTTACCTACAAAAGCCTGGACGCTTGGCCTAGGGTAGGACAGGTAATGACTGATGCCTTTCCTTGGCGACAGGGGGATGGCTGAAACGCCCTCGTCCTGAGCTGGAGCAGAAGGGGCTTGTGGACTTGGGATGGAGCCATCCTTGTCAATGGCAGATGGACCAGAGGGTGTTTCTGGTGTGGATCTATGGGACACAGGTGCTGCCATAAGGATATGATCCTTGCTAACTTTGGGAAGAGTGCAAGGTTGGATCTGAGATGTCGAAGGTGTTGTGTCTCCTCTATCCAGTTGTGATCGTTTGTCATCTCGTGTGTCGCTTCCAAAGTAGGCATTGACATGTTCAGCCAGGTGACTGTACGTTTCATCCATGTTGGTTGTGAACGCAGCGGGCTGGAAGCGTTGCAGCGTTTGCTTTGCAACCCCGCTGGATGTGTTTCCTGTGCTGTTTGACAGATTACTGATAGATTTTGGTGCTTCTTTAGGAGGTTCCATGTCTTTTTTTACTTCAATCTCCCTGGGCGGATCAGGTGCCGCCACAGTCATAACAGCTCCAGCCTTTGGCTCGCCGCATTCCACTTGAACTTCTATAGCTTTGGCCTGAGTGGCACTGGGTTTGAGGCGTGTGATCCTGGAGAAGAGTTCGGAGTTCACCGTTCCGCTCACGGCCTTGGTAACGGTGTCCAGTGTGCTCCTGATGCGCGACATGCGGCGAGGTTACTCGAGGGAATTCAGGAATATTCCTTGAGAAAACACACTTGTGTGGATTTGGCATCAAAGCTACTGAGCCATGCAGAGCTCAATCAAAGCTTTAGCCATTTCACATCTGCTAGATAAATGATCTGTGCATATTTATAAGAGTAGGAGCTTTCCATATTTTAAAGGCGACCTGTAAAGTGAAAGATTGTCATTTGTTATTCTTAAGTTAATAATGTCTAATATCATTTTTAAAAAGTATGAAACCACACAGAACATCCTTGTAACTGCATAAAAATGTGCTAAAAAACACAAACTATGGTGTGATTTGAAAACTCCTTTTTGAAGTTTTAAAACTCCATTTATTGTAACTACATGAAAAGAGTATCCAGTTTTTCAATAACACTTCATTGCAAGGTGACATATTTACATTGTAGCCTACTTACTCAAATTTATACATTTATGTTGGCTAATAGAAGTTCTGAATGGCTGGTAACTTAAAATGTAGAAGCCAATTTGGCCGGTGAGTAAAAAAGTGAATTTCAAACCCTGCTTGTAACGTTAATTATATACATAATTTACTGTTATTACTAGTAAGTAAATGTAGTAGGCTAATGTGTAACTACGTCACCTTCAAATAAAGTGTTACCTTTTTTTCCAACAGAAACCATACAGATTTGCAAAGCAAAAAACAAACAAAAAAAAAAAATAATAAACAACAACAACAAAAAAAGTTGAACTACGAAAATAATTTTTTAAAAGCATTATTAATGCAACACCCGTCCCCTGTCTGTCATCACCATGGAAACCGACGTCAACATGACAGAAACACTGACAGCTATGGAGATGGACAGCGCAAATATCCCACAATGTGAGCATAAAATCAAAAATATCGACTGGATCTCATGCAAAGACTTTACAATCGAGATCGGAGAGCATCAGATCAGGCAATACATGGACACATGGGATATACAGCAACCCGGCTGGCTCTACAGCATGAAGTTTCTGCAGGAAACAGAGCTGGAGTTTAAAAAGCAATACAAGTACGAAGCCAAATGGAGCATCCCGACCCGAAGTACCCCGATCCCAGAGCCACAGCAAGCGTGTATTTCATCATCGAACTCTCCAAAATCAAACCAGATACCCTGCCTGTGGACGTTCACTTCCTCGTTGAAACCAACAGGTTCAAACATATTCCAGGACGAACGAGGTTCAGGGAAAAGTGGCTGGTGGATGTCATTGAGAGCAATAGACTACTGATAGACACTGTTGGCTTTTAAAACGTCAAAAACTGTAATTATAACTCCGTTATGCAAAAACAAACTATGTATTTCAATGAAAATCAATTAAAATGATTTAACTGTTGTTTTATAAGCTGTAACTGTTAATACTGTATGTAACTTTACAGGTGTTTAGTATAGAAATAAGAAACCTCTTATCAACCATAATGCTGTTTTTGCCAGTTTAATCTTAATTATCTAAGCGCAAAATGTCATTTACTTTTATCAATAATACATCATTATCTTTATATGCAATTAATATTTTTATAGAGACAACAATGTATTGTTACATAACAGTTATGTTTACTATTTTTAAGAGGCTGTTCATTGGACCCTTAGTTGGTGTTGTTATGATCACCTAAGACTGACTACAATAAATAACTCTGCTCTATTAAGAGGGAATTTGACATATTAAGCATACAATAAAATTACATACCAGGCGAGTGGCTATTATTCGCCGTCATTTCGTTCAGAAATATTTTGAAAACAGAGAGATGTATGAATCCCAACTGGAAAATTCGACAGGAAACGTTTAGAAGCAGACAGATGACGTGATTCGCAAACAGCCAATCAGAGGGCCGGGAATCTCCTCTTCTTCTCAGGTGACAGGATCAACGCAAACAAAATGGAAATAGCACACTGCCAACTACTGGTAATAAGTGAAACAACATACCATAGAAAAAAATGATTATCATCCCCAGTTATGAAATGAGGAACTTTATAAACATGTTTACTTGGTTAGTTAGAATGTTTTGTTACGTAAAAAGTGATTTTTGCATATTAAATAGCAAAATAGCACATGTTACTATTCTGATAAAAGCAAGGCCAGCATGTTTCCTCTGTCTAATGCATGTCTATTAAAATATGAACAAAATCAAAATTAATGTAATGAATACCATCATTTGCCATTTTCTACACTACTTTTAATTATATATGCATGCAGCAGGGTTATTATATTTAACTAAAATTGAAAAAATAAATAAATCTGTTTTTGTTATATTGCAATATATATTTTCAACTTAATGTACTAAAATAAATAAAAATGAAATTATAAAAAAAAACATATTAAACAACTAATAAAAAAGACAAAATTACTAATACACTAAAATGAAAAATATAAAAATGAAAACTCATAATTCAAAATAATAAAAACAATAACAGTATCTCAGAGATACTAAAATAACACTGTTGTGTAATACATATAATATATAAAATAAATGATACATTTTTTAACGTTAAACTCTTAAAGACACATTTGCAGGGTCTGAAATTTCTTCAGCAACTAACAAGAATATACTAAAAGCAATAATCAAAATAAAAACAGCTCTATAAAAACGAACAGGTCTTGCTTTATTTGCTAGTATATGGCTTACATGAGTATATATATATATTTAAAATTCACAGTCTGCTGGAGGTTGTTCGTGGAGAGTTTGATGGCTGCCTGAGTGAAGCTCCTGGCATTGGTTTAGAGGAGGTAGCCTAATAGGGAGAGCCGTCCGTCCCTCCACAAACATCTCCAGTGAATGAACCCTTCTCTCCTGCTGCAGCCAGTACAGCATCTCAGTCCGGTCCCAGCGCATCTTCTCCCTGTACGGCCGGCCCTGCGAGAACCAAATCAGCAACAAGGATGAACAACAGGACGAACAGTTTCTGCTGCAGATAACAAAATGTGCCTCGATGCACTCACCTCATAGCTGATGCTGTCATTGAAACGGGTTGTGATGTGCCCTATAGTCTTGGACAGTTCTTGGTCTACAACTGAAATCTGAGAGTTGAGATTCTCCCTTTGACTTGCCTCTGTCATTCTAGCGATAGATGAACCCTGATAACCTGTTTATTCGCAATGAATCTGCATTAGATCGGATCTGTTTTAGGTTAGATCATTCTTTTGAAGCCATGCAGGGCAATGCATCATCCCAAAAGCAGATTTCAAAGGTCAAAATGTTTTATTCTGTGCCTCTGACGTACCTCGCTGGAAAAATCTGTTGGGGTCTGATGCCTCCCTCTCAAAGTCCTCCAACCTGGAGAGCAAGAGTTCCCTCTTCAGGATCAAACGAGCAGCCACCTCCCATGCAGCGATTGCCTGATAGCACAAATAAATCCATGTGACAACATAAAAACCTTGATGATTATGATGGAAAGACAGGAGAGTTAATTCTCATGATCTCTACCTCCTGAAGATGGTCCCTGTACTCATGGGAGCTGTATTTGATGGCCATGTCTAGTCGCTGACCTTCTGGCAGACGCAGGGCGTTCCAGACCCTTTCCAGCCTGACCTGCATCTGTTCTGCATCTCCATCCAGCAGACCAGCAGCTGGACCTTCATCTTCCTCTCCTCCCACAGACTGAAGAACCAATCAATCAATCAATCCATCCATTCATCCATCCATCTATCAGCTTGTCTGTCTGTCTATCTCATTTTAAAAAATGTGATTTTTTTTGAGCAACAACTGTGTTTCAAAATTATTTTTGCTAACAGAAATCAATGGAAAACAGAAGTGCAGCATAATATTATGAGGAAGAGAACAGGAACTCACTACATCTTGTATTTCCTCTTCTGGATGTGTCTCTGAAACACAGATATATCGTCACTCTTTCCTTTTTTACATAATGCATGTTCATAAATGTACTAATTTTTTTTTTTTAGAAAACAATAACATGCCATCCAGTTCTGGTTCCCTCCCGAGTCCTCCCATCTTTATGGTGTTGATGTTCCAGAAACCAGGAATAAATTCCTGTTTCCGTCTCCTGAGTGAACTGATCCTTTCCTGCTGCCTTCTGGAAGAAATGACGGTCAGATAAAAATTAGAAGCCAAATCTACAGGCTAACTTTGATTTAATTATAGAAATAAAATAAATGGAACAGGCAAAACATTTGTGATTAGCCATTTTGCTGACAGTCACATTCCCAATATTAGAAGTGTTGTCTTATGGACGAAACAACCGCAAGTCATCAAGTGTCATTCATTCTTAGAGAATCCCAGCTGTTAATACAAGACCTTCTCCTCTTGTCTCTCTGCAGCTGAGCCAGCTTGTGTCTCTCTTCCTCTTCATCATCACTGTCATACAGGTGAAAAAGCACTGACAGATAATCAGAGTCCTTCAAAACAACACAAGCACAGTCCACAATTGAGCCTGCATCCTGAATACATTTAGCATTTATCGCTCATAAACACACACTGCTATTATAAACTTACCTGGTTGGAAATGTAGTTCAGATAATCATCCAGTGATAGTTGACACCTCCACCACTGAAACCAAGCTCTGTGCACTCGTGCAGTCGCATCTACAGGCCTCTTTCTGTTCTCAGACCTCTTTATTCTCTCTCTGTTAAATGTAAGATTTGATATCATTTCGGGGTACCCAATAACCACAAGCACAGATAATAAGGAAGAAGAGAGCACCTGTGAGATATGCTGTATGGGTTGGGCTTCCTGAGTGATGGGTTGATTAATTTGTCATCGATTACTCTTTTTGAGAAGCATGTGGCATTTGTCAGAGCAGGCTCGATCCTGGGGTCCTTTAAAAGATAGAAAGCTAATTTTAATATTCTCAACTTCATGATATGAGGATGCTGTGATATGTCACCAACAAAATATTACAACAAAACTCAGCTCACCTCATCAAAGCTGAAATACTTTGTCGAAATACTTTTGGATAACTCGTCAAAGACTTTGCTTATTTCTATATTTTCTCCAACCAAGTTCCGATCCATCCGAGTAACCGATGCTGAATCGATCTAGAGGTTTAGAATGATTATACAGGTAAATCCTATATAAGCCAAATTAGATGTTGTAGCAAGAATGTAGGAGGGATATGTATGCTGTATATATATATAAAATAGTAAAATATCACTGCTGTGATATCATAGAACCTCTTTAGTGAGGTCATTGTAGACTGGTGGGTACAGTTTGATGGTCTCTGGGAGAACCCTATCGGACGCTCTGGCTGCTGCTGTGCGCACAATGGTGTGAGATGAAACCGCCACTATGGCCATGTCTCTTTTGTGTGTGAAGGTTTCTCCACAACTTTAGGCTTCTTTGTTTCCTCTTCTTCCTCCATTTTCTAAAAAGAAATGCCCATGAAACGACTGTAAATCACATTTGCAGATGGCTCAGGTATACTGCACACGATTATGGCTGCAGTGAGTTTATTTCTGTACCTGTAGTCTTTGTTTGAGCTTTTGGAGTCTGCTAGAATTATAACAGATCATGGCTTCTATAAGTGGGCACATATCTGTCTCACAAACACTGTCATCCTTGTAATCGCTTTCTTTTAATAATCTAAAAAAACAACACACAAATGCAGTTTTAGTTTCGATTACTCATGCACATGGGCACTCTGATTTATATGTTGTATATTTCGTAACAGCCCAACCTCCTCAGATCCTCCTCAGGACTGATGTGTTTCTCCAGGGTGAAGTGAGGATCTGTGGACAGTAGGGCCAAAGGGGATGGAGGCCGATTCGGCAACTTTATCTCTAGCTCCTCTAGCAGTGTCTCCCTCTGTAGGTCAGGCATGGAATGACATCCCTGAGAGGGCAGAAGGCCAAATTGTGAAGCAGGCTACTTTTTGAAAAGTTGCAATATGCAACATGGACTCAAAAAGCCCTGCTCACCTTCATTCTGAACAACCGGATTTGACTGGAACTCTGATCCTGCTCTTGTGTCGGTATACTGGCCATGCGGGCTGTGGAACCTGGACACATGCAAAGATACAGTGTCCTGATCTAATATCCTGAATTATAACCTATCACTTTAAAGGGATAGTTCGTTCAAAAATGATCTATCTATCTATCTATCTATCTATCTATCTATCTATCTATCTATCTATCTATCTATCTATCTAAAAAAAAAAACATTGCAGATTTGGAACAACATGAGAGTGAGTAAACTATCCCTAAATGTATCTGTGTATCTTGCCGTACACTGTGTGTCTGTCTCGTAGAAGATTGGCTTCGTGTGGCAGGGCAGGAGATCATACACATCTTGCAGATCCAGCTCCCCGATTTTCTCCTGAATCTGGACACATAGAAATGTATAAATTTGACCTTACCGTCTCTCTTTACCACACTCATGCACACAAACACACCTCCTTGAGGTCATCCTCCACAGCTTTTTCCCGTGGTGTGCCCCTCATGGACCTCTCCATCCTATCAGAGCATGTTAGTAGTGTCTTCTGTGTAACAGCGCTTGTTCTGGCCTTCCGTGCAGCCTTGATTCCTGTGACAATCCTGCATCTTATGGAGCGAACATTCAAGCTGTAAATAGAAACAGCCACCAGTTTCACCAGTGAATAAGCAATGCCACACTATATGTCATCAAATGGGCTATTTTATGGGATCAAAGCCTGTTAAAGTCTCTGTAATTTAGATTAAAAAGAGTAGCTCTCACACTCTGCTACAGTCCACAGCAAGCTGAGCTGCCACCCTTCTGCGATTGGCACAGTCACTGAAGACCCCTCGCCTCTGTAGAGTTTTCATCACCTGCAGGTAGTGAAGAAACAGCTGGACACAGATGTGCAGCACTTCACTGAAGGTTTGGCAGTTCAGCTGCACTTTCTCTTCCTGGGACAGTGTGGTGTCCACAGATGGGGTTTTCAGGTTCTGCCAGATCAGGCCCAGCTCAGAGGTCAACACTGCAGTCTGAAGGTCAAAGGCAAAAAGAAAAGAAATTTATTATGTAAACTCATTAAAAAAAAAACATACTTCTGGGAGTATTTTAAGAATGAGATTGGTGGATTAGGAGAATCTGATAAAATTTAATCAGCAATAGGGCCAACTGTACGGTGAAAAATACTTCAGAAGATGAATATTTGAATATCTGTTTGAGACTGACCAGAGACTCTCTGTCTTCATGGCAGATGGAGTAATGTTGTGATATCTGGATGATTCTCTCCTCCAGCTCTTTGCACAACTGTGTCAAAGAGGCTGGAATGCTTTCATCCTTCTTATAAGCTGAAGACTCTGATCTGAGCTTAAACCTGTCTGAAGGTGAATTTGTAAATCAGCAATACTGTAATGAGTGAATTCAAGAACTCTAACTTCAAGAATGAATTAACTAGTGAAAGCTTGTGAAGAAAGATCTAACCTGTCATCCTGTCACCACTGATGTGACAGAGTAGTGAAAGAGGTCCTAGAAGGTTCTGAACCTCTTGATTGTGGACCATCATTTGGCGATCCAAACTTTTGAAGTTGCTAGCAAACCTGTGTGAGCTTGTTATTTCCCCAGTCATTCTCAAAACAATGAAAACCAAATAAAAAGTCTAATATAAAAACAAACTTTTCAGCATTCATAGAACAACATTTAAGGTGTAAAAAAAAAAAAAGCTTTTCAGGTTTAAACCTGGTTCACATCAATGAATGTGACCTGATTTCTGTCACAAGTTTAAAATGACAATGCACCGGATTAAAAAAACAGACGCATAAATTAGGTTATAGTCTACAATCATTTTAATATAAAAAGAACAACTGTTTAAAATAGATATATTGTAAATATTTATCGAAATGTAACAAAGCGACTGAAAACCACCGTTCCTCCCTTCCACCTGCACGGCACGCCAGTCCAAACAAGTCACGTTCCCCTGGAAACGCAGGTCACGCACAACGTCATTGCGCAAACTAGGAACATCCGATATCACTTTTTTTCTTTTCTTTTTCCTTATTTCGTTTAAATACTCTAGGGATTAATTTGAAGCCAGAATATTAAATACAGTCTTTAAAACTGCAAGCACATTAATAATAATAATTAAGAAAAGAAACTAATTAAAAGGATTTAAGTATACCAAGCTCATATGGTAATCTACAATTCTATGCTAGTCTAATGCAGGTGTTTTTAATCCACGGGCCCATCCTAAAAGGGTGTCTTTTGTAAACACCAAATTTACACACTGAAATAAAAATTATTAGGCCTCTAATTCCCAATGTATTTATATTAAGTTTAAAAAAAAACAATACACAGTATAATATATGAAATACGTAATACAAGTAAAAAAATTATTAACAAAAAATAATAAATAAAATAATAAATAAATAGCCTAAATAAAACAATAACAACCCTGTCACTCCCTTACGTCACTCCCTTTCGTTCCCCTTGTGGTCACATGACGTCTCAAAAAAGTCTCAACAGTCACAGAACCCACCTAGTGAACAAATAAACGCATTGCAGTTTAAAGTCTAAACTCTAAACAACACTTAATTTAGCCTTTAGAACAGTCTTATATTAAATTAGCATTTTTGTGTTTCTGTAATTTGGCATATTTAGGGAATGTTTAAAGTTAAATAAAGTATGCACTAATGGGATACCGACTTTAAAAAACAGCACTAACAGTCTAATAAAATAGTATTTACCTTTCTTATTTTGCCTAATGATATGACCTATGGCACCCAAATGCTAAATACTACAACACAGGGTCACATGGCATGTATGAAAAATGAAACGCACACCACTTCCGTTTACATTAGCCCCTGTCATCCGGAAGGGTGGTACCTGTTCTACTTCTGCAAATACGTTTCTGTCGTCTCATCATGCTTGTAAAAAAAACAACATGGACATGAGAGAGTCCTCCTGGAGAGCTGTGATCAGTCAGTCCATGGTCATTTGATCAGCTGGAGCCGAGAGGACGAACCGACGCGGATTTGAACCTCACCTGGTCTATATGAGCCCGTCAGGTAAACGCTGAACTGAGCCCGATTCAAAGTTTGGATACTTTTCATTGCAGGTAAGTGATTTTAGGGTTGTTTAACATTTGCAAAATGTACAGCGCATTGATTCTGGATTGTTTTGTCGTATAAAATGTGGTTTAAGAAGCTCTGGGCGCGTGTTATGTTTGGACAGGTGGGAATTAAATGGGCGTTTTGGCAACATTGTGGTTTCTTGAGTAATCGGCTGTATGTATCTTTTGTGTGTATTTGCATGTTACTAACTTTAAAAGCATAATATCAGTCAATATCTAACACTTATCTTTTGCTTGTACTTTGAAACCAAGACTATTAAGGTTTTATTTGCATACATTTGACCTCATTCCTAAAATCAATAAACAGTAAATAGGCTATATAAACAGTAATGTGATTGAAATAAATGAAAAATAAACATATTTTAGGAATGAAACGACGTGACCATAAAATGAAATTAAATAATAACGTTACATTTATTTTTAATTAAAATGTCTGAAAAGATAGTGGGTGACTAAGGATTTATTGTTAGAATTCTGACAAGCTTTAACTGCTGACAGTAACTAACAGAATTATCTCAATTTACTTTTAATGGTTTGCGAGTAAATATCAGTAAACGATGATAATAGTAAGGATGTGATACAAGTTATAACATAATATAAATAAAAATATGTCCTGTTTTTCACTGACACGCATTGTTGCTTTTGGAAGATTCTCATAACAAAAAAAAAAAAAAAAGGGTTTTGAGGGACCTGGAGGGACATTATTAACCCTATTATATGCTCTAAAAGTGGAGAACTGGGTTTGTTACTCATAGAGATAACAGTACAATGGAGAGTTAAAGGAACTTAACTGGAGAACACTGAACAGATTTTCCTTATTTAGGAACCTCACCTACTTCTCTATCCTAATTACTCTCTTAGCATTTGGTTAATTATTGTTCCTCAGCAATTCATAATGGTTAGAATTTAGAAGTATTTTGAACTTCCTTTATAGAAGTTCATTATCAATATCATTTAACACTCATTGAAAAAGCTCATATGAAGTCTCATGACTGTCAGTGTGTTTAAATAAGAAATGGCCTTGAAAGTTTCACAGCCTCTTTTTCATTTCTGCCAGTTACACGGCTATTACATCAGCACCTTGGCATTTTCCCCCCTTATAAAAGCAGACCGCGGTAATGGTGGCGTTCGATCTTGGCTGTTATTGTGCTCGGTCATGTTGTCGTGTATTTACAGAGGTAACATGACCTCCCTGCTACTGAGCTTTTAAAAAACTAAATGCCACATCCCACATGCTTTCTGTTTTCCCACGAGCACCTGCTTTTATAGCAGCGGTTTACTTGGCAGAGGCCTGAAGGCTCACGTCTTGTCACATTTGTTATTGTGGTGCTTTTGTGCTAAATATTTATCCGACTTGTTGCCTTAAAATTGTCCTAATTTTGTTGTTGATGTATGTTTTTTCAGCTTGTCCATCTCAGCATCTCTTTGGTTGCGCCAACTTTGCAGAATTAACTTTTAATTATGTTCCTTTTCTCTGTTTTTTTACCCCAGTGCTAAAATTGCTGACCAAAATAAGTGTTCACGTTACCACCACCTCCTCCGACCCCCTTGTTCTCCAGCACCATGAGTGGTCAACCACGGAGGATTCGTCTGAAGCCATGGCTGCTGGCACAGGTCAATTGTGATCTATTAATCACATTGTAAACTTTTTGAAAATATTGTTTTTGAAAAATTGTTCTCCCTAAAATTATAATCCTGGCATCATTTACTTACCCTCATGTCATTCCAAAGCAGTTGGACTTTCTTATGTGGAACATAAAAAGCAGATTCTTTTTTAATACAATTAAAGCGAATGATGACCAGGTAAAGCTCTACACATGAACAAAAAGCACCATGCAAATCATTCTAATGACTCTTATTATGCCATTTGCTTTTATTCTCACGTCGGATTACCAGTCATGACAGCATTTTTTTAAATATGTGCATAGGCAAATGATACAAGTTCTATAGCACAGGCCAGGGTACGTTTTTCAGGGGATAATGACTTAAATTTGATCCTCAGATGACATCAGAAACAGAATATAGGCTAAAGTTGTTTTGAAAGTGTGCATTTGCAGATGAGAGTCAATAGAAATCCATGCAATTGGGATTTTCTCTTGAGGACTAAAGAGTTCGCAACCCTCTGAATTCGCCACATTGAACAACAATGAAAAAACTGCTTGATTTAAAAGTGACTTCTGTGTGAACAGTGCTTCCTGCATCGCTTCACTATTGGTACTGTTTTTTGGTCTTTGAAAGTTCCTGAAATGTTGCTAAAACGACCCCACCATAAATGGTGACTTTTTTTTTTACTTAAAAGTCTCTGGTCACTATGTTATGCAAATTTGTGAGGTGTGTAAATGAAAATATCGGTCATAGAATAGTTTTAACCATATTTTCAAACCAACAAAGAGATTCATAAAACCACACTGGGGATGTACCAGAACACTGTTTCAAACACTTGATGATATAATCTTTACCTCATCATCAATGCTTCAAACAGATTGGTGCCCGGCTACCACCTTGCTTTCACCCATCCTGTACTTCAAGATATCAGCATCTAAAATGGAGGGAATAATAGAAGGAACATCATTTGAAATATTGACATCCTGAGCAAGTTCTACGTTTAGTAAAGTAAACATTTCTCACTCCACCAGATTAACAGTGGGAAATACCCAGGACTGCACTGGCTCAATCAAGAGCGCAGACTGTTCCGGATCCCATGGAGACACGCCACCCGTCATATGCCTACCCTTGAAGAGGAGAACACTATTTTTAAGGTGAATCATATGTTTTTGGCATCACTCGTGCTGTTTATTACCCTTTTGTGGATGTTACAATAGTATTTACCCATAATATGAGCTCAGTTTCAACACCAACCCAAGATGCTGAGGTTACATGCTTTCACACAACCCGTATTCTGTTCTAAAGTTATTAGAACCATCAAATGTCTGTATTTACAAGTTCTAGTGATGTGTTCAGTACTTTAGAAACCACTTTTTTTGAGAACTAAAAATGGAGTTTCAATTCCACTTGGCTGAACTGCAGCATGATTTTAAGGGGAAGTCATGAAAGGTTTAGAGCCTTGAGGTTAATGATAGGGAGTTAGCAAAAATAGAGGTTTTTTTGGCGGTTTTGTTGCGTCTTTATGCATAGTGTATTAACAAACTACACAATTAGCAGGGATATGCTTTAAAATCAACAAATTTAGTCTTTATGGAAACAGACCAAAAATATTGTTGACTCATACTGAACTATGCAGATTTTGCCCAATCAAATGCTAGAATAGGAATTACACTCAAAATGGACTGTAATGTGCCTGGTTTTACAGACAAGGTTTAAGCTTAAGTCCCAGACTAAAATACATGTTTGAGCTGTTTTAACTCAAAGCAGCTTGCACTGACTGACTTATCTTAAAATATGACCGTGCCATTGTTTTGTCTCAAGATGCACACCGGCATTGTATTACATTTATAAAAGCTATTTAAATATCCTAATTTAACCAAGGCCTAATCTAAGCCCAGTCTGTGAAACCAGGCCATTGTCTAATTAAAAAAAGAAAGGGACAAGACATGTCTAGACATTTCCCACAAGCATCCCTTCATTCACCCATTTTGCTATGCAGGCTTGGGCTTTGGAAACAGGCAAGTACCAGGAAGGAGTAGATGAGCCAGATCCAGCAAAATGGAAGGCTAACCTCCGCTGTGCACTTAACAAAAGCCGAGAGTTCGGACTCCACTATGATGGCACTAAGGACACCCCCGTCCAGCCTTATAAGATCTATGAGGTGTGCGACCAGTCAGTCAATGGAGGTAAAGACCTGGAACGCATGCCTAGTCAGTGAGGGATAAAAAGAATGGATGAGCCAATAAATCTCTTCTTTTGTTGATTTTAGATGCTGGAGAGGATGAGGAAGAGGAGGTAAGTGCTGAAGTGCATGTAGCGTGATGGAATAGCTTGAATAACTGTTATAGAAATTAAATTTTTTTTTTCTTCCCCCATTTCATTTCAGCTGCAAAACTTTGTAAAACTCTCCATTGGTAAGCATTTTTCAAAGTTGATGTCATTTGGAAAAAAAAAAAAATTGAATGTATAACAAAAAAATCGAATTATATTTTCCGATAGACCCTTCAAGCTACTCGGCATATCCCCCTAGAGTTGACGTTCCGTTCACATCTTCTGATGGCTATAATACTGCCCACCACAACCCTCAAATGAAACTTTTCGGTGAAATGATCCCTAATAACCCCAACGGAGGTGCTCCTATGACCACTCATCTTGCCCAGCCCAACACAGGACCCCCTGAATTTCCCAGTCACAGTGCAGTTAAAGTTGAGCAGGGATCATATCCCATTCATGGTGGAGGACTTTCGAATGGTATGGAAATGGGGTCTGGAGTCATTCCGCCTCCTGCTCTTCAGGATGTAGTCTCTCATTCTGTTGGCCCTCCAAACATAGTGGACACCCCAATGCAAGAGGTGCCATCTCAAGCGGAGAACCAGGTTCATCCCTGCATCTCAGAGCTGCTGAGCAGTCCACACATGTTGCCCTGTAAGCCTCTAATGCCTTGTTATTCTGGATTAATGTTGCAATTTATGATGAAGACATAGCTAAATCTCAGAAAAAGTCTAGTCCCACCCTCTAATTTTGAGTAATGTTAAATGACTTTGCATAGAGGTGCACACCTTGGCTGTATTATCAAAATTTAATTTGTTAGACTGATCTTTCATTTAAGAAATACGTCATCCAAAAATGAAAGGTCTGTCATCATACACCATGTCGTTCTAAATACCACAAAAGGAGAATTTTTGGCTGGATGTTCGTACTGCTCTTTTCCATACAATGTAAGTTAATGGTGACCAAAATTCCAAAAAGTCAATGCTATTATGCATATAATGTGCATTTTCAATTTTGGCATACCATGATTGGTTACAATGATGTTTGATGTCAAACCTGGCCTAACACTTGCTACACCAGATACAAAAAGGTTTGTTAAATTTGTGAGCTGTTAAGAAAATTATCAGTGATTTAATATAAAGTTTTATATTTTTTTATCACACAAACCTTACTTGGAGTCAAAAAGACTTTGGAAGTCATTCGGACTACTTTTACAATTCCCTTTGTATTTTATTTGCTCTTTATTGCTATAATAATTCTTATGAATGGAAAGAGCAGCATCAACATTCTTCTAAACACCTTTTGCATTCCACAAAAGAAAGAAAACCAAGAAGTGAATGATGATAAATTGGTCATTCTCTTTTTCTCTTCTAGTAACTGATCTGGATATCAAGTTCCAGTACAGGGGTCGGACAGCTGGTTCTTTGACCGTCAGTAACCCTCAGGGTTGTAGACTTTACTACGGTAACCTGGCACCCACACCAGAGCAGGTGGAGCTGTTCGGTCCAGTCACTCTTCAGCAGGTACTGTTTCCAGGATCCGCCGAGATCCCGAACGAAAAGCAGAGGTTCTACACCGATCATCTGCTGGATGTGATGGACCGAGGGCTGATTTTGGAGATCAGGGGACAGGATATCTATGCCATCAGGTTGTGCCAGTGTAAAGTGTTCTGGTCTGGGCCAGGTGTGCCTGAGCAGGGGCCGCCCAATCCAATGGAAAGAGAGATGAAGATCAGGGTCTTCAGTCTGAACAACTTCCTTCAATGTAAGAGGAACCAGTTTTTTCAATGAGCATGATGTCAAATGTACTGTATTGTTACTGCAATAACAAAAAATTGAGTATATATAAATTCCAACCCAATGTTACAATTGGCAACCTCTGGATTTTATTTGAGTTTCAGAGTTTGGAAGAATCATTGTGGAAGTAATTTTGAATATTGACACATTGTATGTACTGTTGATGAATAGCTAGGAAATTGATACATGTAACATTGAGGTGACAAAACATTTACATTCATTTTCTGTGGCAGCACAAGATTGACAAAATATACAAACTGCCAATTCAACACCATTTTTCTTCATTTTGTTGCACATGTGATGCAGAAGCTTCCTGTCTTTGGTGGGAAGTGAAAGACAAAACATGAAATTGCCCAACTCCATTTTATTCACTTTATGTAAAAAATCACTTCCAAACTCATGCATGACTCATTTTGTTAATTTGATATATCATGTGATAATTGTGTTTTTTTTTTTTCCCCTTCAGGTCTCATTTCTTATCAGAAAGGGGAGGCACCATCTCCTCCACCCTTTGAGATCTACTTCTGCTTCGGTGAGGACTGGCCAGACAGAAAGCCCAAGGAGAAAAAGCTCATCATTGTCCAGGTGTGAAGATGAAATCCATGTTTGTTGGTTTCATTTGGAGTTTGAAGACGCTAGTCATTTATTTGTGCAGGAAGGTGTACAAGGCCGTGCTGTATGGCCGAATTGAGTCGTATGGCATTGTATTTACAAAATAGCATAGCTATAACTTATACAGTGTATTGTGTAGAAGCCAATCAGTCTCCATTTAAACCTAGCAAACAATGCTATATTGCTAAATTGATGTTGTACTCACAATTTAGCAAAGCTCTAACTAGGTGAACAGAAGTTTCACATCACAGGTGTGCATCCAGGACTGGAGCAGTGTTTTATAATTTAACATTCTTCAAACTTAAAACCATGATATATTGCTAAATTGTGCAGCATTGTTTTCACACTATAGCACAGATGCTTCATGTCATATCTGTTAATTTAGTGTATTTAAGCCAATCGACATGGTCATAGCTTCTATTATGTAGTGTCTATTAACCAATCAACATCCAGAACGACAACTATGTTTTATAATTTAACAATTGTCAAACCTAGCATAGTTTGCTAAATCAATTTCCACAAATAAACAGCATCTGCTCTTAATGAACGTTTATGCTGTCATTTTCTTTCCTAGGTTGTTCCAGTTGTTGCAAGAATCCTTACCGAGATGTTTTCAGGTGAGCTTTCGTGGTCTACAGACAGCATTCGGTTGCAGATCTCCAACCCCGACTTGAAAGACCAGACGGTGGAGCAGTTCAAAGAGCTCCATAGACTGTTGCAGAGTCAAAACACACACCCCCCCTGGACTCAGAACATCCACTAACTGAAAGAGGAACCCATGTTGTTCATTGCCTGCTGAAAATTGGAGGTCCTTTCAGCACTGGAGTATATAGTTGCCCTCACCATTGGACTAGACCTCTTGACATTTTTTTTTTCTCCATATTTTTTGTTTTGTTCTTTCCTATGTCTTGGTTAACTTGTCTTTTAAAATGTTAGATTTCAATAAATACCATTGCAGTATTTTAAATGGTTGCTGACATGATCAAGTTACCACTGTGCGATTCACCAAATGAACAGTTGAGCGTCTTCTTGACGTTAGCATAACCTGACTCTATTAAACCCTTAAATAAGCTGTCACTCATAGATTTAAGACTCGTATTTCATGCAAGTTCCTTGCAAACTTTACGAGAGCAGGCAGATAATAACATCTGCTGACCTCATCCTTTAAGGTCTGTGCCAGTAACATGAACCTGTCGGACTTGAACGGATGTGACTACATGCACTCATTCAGCAAATGGGAGAGAGGAGGAGTAACCTGAGGGTTTACACGTGCAGTTGTGAGCAACACATGATTGTAGGGCCTTAGACAATAGAAGAGGGTTCAGTTTACTCGGGTCCTGTTTTCTGAGTCACAATGTAACTTTCTTAAAATTAAACCTGGTCAAACTGGTTCCTAGAGCTGCAGAAAGAGTGAAAATCAGTTCTCAAAACACAAGTGGATCTGAAAAGATACGAGACAAAGATTAGTTTGTTCCTCACAATGTTGGATTTTATTTTGCCCAATCGGCCGGACACGCTCCTAAGAGTCTCTTGAGATATGCCAACATATTGAAAGAACAAAAAAAAAAAAAAAAAAAAGCACCTGCCAGTCAGTCCCCTCCATAATTTACAGCATAACCTGTACGGATAAAATCCCAGCCAACTTTAAAAAGATCAAGGGCGACACCAACTCTCCCAAGATTCTCCCCTTTGCAAATGTCCCACAGGCGCAGGCTGCTGCTGTGACAATCTTTAGTTTGGTAATCATTTGTATGGCACTGGCAGCGAAGCCATGTCTTGATCTCTAAACACACGTCCATGAAAATAAATCTCCATTTTGTTTTTAAAAACGTACAAGTCTCTTTTTTTAACGATGCATTATGATTTGCAACCAGGCACATCCTTATTTGTTTTTTTTATGTTTTTTTTTTTTTGATGGATCCCCAAAAATCCGACTGATGCAGACGTTGAAATGGGTGTATACGTTTCAATGTCCATTTGATGGCCCACCCCCTCTCAAGACGACAATGTCCCTTCCGAAACCTCCCTCTCTCGCTGCAGCTGGCATCGGTGTGCTTGGAGGGGTATAAGGGAGGGATGGGGCTGCGGTCTTGAGACACCCACAAGGCAATTTGCTTTTCCTGAAACCCTGCCACTCCAAAGCTCCAAACCAATTGGTTGGCTTTCCCATGGTGCCAAGTCCAACAAATCCTTCATGCAAGAGTTCCCTTTAGTTTATCAACAGTGGTCATCATGGCTCCCTTTGCCACTTCCTCCAAATGTTAGCAAAACAAAAAAAAATCTGACCTGCAGAGGAAAAGACTTTATAATAACTTTATAATTTACAGGGTTCCCACAACTGAATTTACAAGACTTTCAGTCTTTTGTGATGTTCATTTAAAATGTAGTTTTAAATCATAAGAGAGATGTCTAATTTAGAAATGTATTTAAAAAAAATCCATACATCTTAAATTAATTGCTTTATTATTTAGAGAAGTAAATGTATTTTATTTCCTTAAGAAAAAAATCCCTGTTGCACAATGAAACAGATTTAATCATCATTTAGATTTAGTAAATATATTTATATTTCCCTGTTGCACAACGGGACAAATTGTTTTAATATGTTTCTCTCACCTGGTCTTGCAGCATCAGCAGGTAAAAGACAGCTATCGGTACAGCCTTGTAAACTCTCTTATCGCCCAACAAACCTGTTTACATTCCTCTGCACTGGAATAGAGAAAACAAATTGGCATCAATTTTAAACAAACCACTTGAACAATAAGTTGGTCTATTACTAATCACAGTACAAACACGCCAACAGGATGGGCGAGCAGAGCAACGACACTGCATCAGTCTGGCGTGGTTTGGACTTTCCATGAAAGGCTGTGACTCATTCTGCACTGTCAGAATATGTATTCGGCATCTGTGCATGACACCACGCTGGGACGCTCCTCGTTTCTCAGGTCAAGACTTGCTAAAATATGAGATTATGGGTACTTGTTTAGGCTTGCCATGCCGAGCTAATCGCAGGGAAAACTGAATGTGCACCAGCTTGGAATACCTCAAAAGACAAATGCTGCCTGTAATTTACACTGATGAGCACTATTACTTTTTATTGTGGACAAAAACACTTTTTAATAAGGGAACAGGCCAATTGGTTTCGGGAGTGTAATGAAATTATCCTAATGGCAGTGCTGTTAACGAAGACTCAGGTGACGGCAGGCACAGACAAACTCACCTTGTGACCTGCTTATGGAAGTCTGTGAGCTGCTTGTGTGTGACTGATACAGCGCCTCCTGCTGTTTCTTTCGGAAGACCCTTCAGTGCGGTTTCCAGCCAGCGACAAAACGTCTAAGCACAAATAAACGTTTAAAAAGTATTTTTAAAAAGCAAAAAAAACACTGTGTGGTTATCATAACATAAAATAATAATACAATTAAAAAGAAAAGGAACTTAAGGAATTCAAATAAGATGCTATCCAGCCACAAAAAAAAAAATGTTTTGTGGGTGTTGAGAAAAGCACTGATAAACTTAAAATTAGACTAAATAATAAAATCTAAATACATTTAAAATAACCTTTTTTATTTGTCTTTTATTATAATAATAATAATAATAATAAAAAAAAACTATTTAAATATAAGACCTCCTGTCTCTTTGAATGCAATGCAAGTCACTTCACATAAACGCATCTACCAAATTAAATGTAAATTATGAATCTGTATTTGAGCAATGTTCAAAAAGCGGCGCGTGTTCAAAAAGGTTGAAAACATACCGGCCGATCAAAGAGCATGATCTCCCAGAGTACCTCCGCCACATCAGGCAGAGTGTAAGGCGGCAGGCAGAAACAGCAGGTGTTGATCAGCTGAGTCACTAGCTGCAGTCCGTGCTGCTCCATCGCCTGGCCAATCAGACGCTTTCGCACCTCAAAGTCATCCTCATGCTGAGGAGAGGAGAGGAAAATCAGCTATGTGCAATGAATGAACAGGATAGACAACGTAATAAAAGGTCTGTCGATTGGTTCGACAGTGCCACTTACGTCATTGGAGACCCCTGTGTGAATAAGGTCTCTGATGAACTTCATTACGCTGCAGTTGGCATCTCGATGGTCCAGGGTGGTGGCAGCGATGGCACACTGGATGATGTGGATGATAATATTGCTGCTCAGCAATGTGACCGGACTACGCTGGACAAACCTGAAATAATGAGAGAAAATAGGAACATTTCTTAATGTACGTTAATTTGGTGTGACAATTAACTTATTTTGGGCTTGCTTTATCATTTCAGGTTGCTTGTTTTTCTAACACTTCAGCACAAGTACAAAAACACAAAAGTACCTTGTGGCGAGTCTAAAAAGATCATCCACTGTGTCCGGGTGATTGCGCAGTCCGTTAGGCTGTTCTAACAGCTGGAAAGTCGGCATACAGAGAGCCTGCAAGGGTGAGAGAGAGCCACTGATCAATAACACCGAGACGTAACACTCATCGCAGCACAAGACGTAAAATAAGCACAGCATTCTGTCTGTGCCGTCATAACTTCTTTCATCCCTTTTGCACATCTTATTGTGCACTGACTTGCTTGCTAAACAAATGTTGCAGAACACACAGAAAAAACGAAGTCGGTCGATGCTCAGAAACAGCCAGATGGCCAACTGTCGGCTTGGTGTGTCCCTGGCTTATAGGTTGTTAGACTGGACTGGAGTTTGCTTGTGTGCACGTTACCTGTAGCATATCCAAAAGGCCTTGTCTACATCCTTCCTCCATGCCATACTCGTCCACTAGAATACTGCCCAGGTATAGGAAACAGGAGTGAGGGTACACCTGGTACACGCTCACCATCTAAAACACACCAAAAAAAAAACCCTTTGAGACCTATTTCAGATACAGATGAGAGGACATTCATTTTTAGGGCACAAACACACCTGGGTAACGAGTGGCTGTAATAAGGAAGCAGAGCCTTTCCCAACGCAACGCACTGCAAATCTCAGGCAGCGGCAGCAGCGCTCCACTATCCGGTTATCACCTTGATGGGCGTTCAACGTCTCTGACAACACCGGCCAGATCTACAAAAAAGAACAGAGATGAGGATCAGAAAGAAACTGCTATAAAGACAGACGCAAATAATGTGTCAGTTAACGCACATGTAAGGGTACCTCTTGAATGACTTTCTGGCAGGGGTGTGTTTGTCCATTCTCTACTATGGGGTTTGTGTGTCTAATGAAAAAAAAAAAATCAACGGCTTTTAAAAAACACATTTAACTTGTTTAATGATATATTTTCAGAGAGAAAAATAACATTTAAAGAGAAATAAATAGATTTGTATTCATTAATGCTATTAAGATTAAGACACTTATCTTCACAATAACATTGCCAATTCAGAGGAAGAAAATATGTAGAATTCAGATGCCATGCATTTAATATCTTTTGACATGAATACTTTTTACATACATACCAATTATCTGCAACAAAAGGCTAATTCTATGCTAATTTTATCCGTTTCTAAGTCTCAAAGCCTTGATACAAGGATTATTTTGTTTGTTTTTAAAACAATGACAGCTTCTATGGCTTCATTTTTCATGGCAAAATCCAGGTTTAAATATTAAAATAATAAGCAAGACAAACCAATCAAACAAATAATAATACAAACAAACCTTTGTATATCTAATTCATAGATTAAACCACTAAAAACCTTAAAGTCTACATGAAATCAAATTTGACAAATCTTTTTATATGTAATACTGTAGTGTTTATTACAAATGATTTATCTGTGCACTTCATTATTTTTTAATTCATGTACCCTTATAATCTTTAATCATTACCCTTCCCTCGCCCATCGAAACGACCTCTCTTCTATTTCGGTCATGTGCAATGGCGAAAGGGTACAGCCAGATCCGAAGAGGGTGTGGCTATCGGTGCACCCAAAGGACGAAATCAAGCCCTGCCCTACATTTTTTTCTAATTTCAGAAGCCGTTTCACTCGGATATACGTCCGAAAAAGGAAAAAATTAATCTCAAGTTGCGTTTCACGGCGACTTTAAAAAGGTATACGGTGTAAGAATTCCGTTTTCGTCAAACAGCAACCCCTTGTGTTGCTGTGGAGTCCTTGTACTGTCGTAAATAATGAATGGAAATAAGGTGTGGCCCCTTTAAGAGCTGTGTGTGCCGGGTTATTTCTGTTTGATGCTCATTCTTGTCCTATTTTAAGTGAAAGCCTGACCGAGTGAGATTCTTATCCGGTTCTCACGAGGTCAGTTTCTCGGTTTCTTTTCCTTGACTCTTAAGAGCCTGTGGTCACATGATGGTCGTAAAGCGATACGTTCTCCAGGCATATTCCAAGTCACATGACTTTGCCAAAGACGGTGCGTGTTCTCCAAACTTACATAGGCGGTATTTCAAGACGGCAGCCCCGTTCAAAGCATTGATAGTGTCAAGCACTGTAAATTGGCCAGAGGAATCATTTAAAATACCTCTTATGCATCAACTCTTTGGCCAAAAGTTACACAGTGAGCCTTTAATAATAATCATTTTCAAGAGCGTTACATAATAATTTTCAGTAGGAAACAACGATTTTCTTCGAGGACTAGAAATAGTCACATAGTTAAA